CAATGAGTTCTGGCGATAGATTTTCCGAATCTGCCAATCAAAGTTAAGTCCCGGGCTTCCCACCGCATGGCTGAAGGCTTCAGCAAAGGTCTGTTTCAAATTCTCTTGCTCCTTTTCACGGAATCCTCTGACTCTAATTGCAAATGCCTTCCTATTAAAATTTAACATCATAAGCTGTTCTTCGTTATTTCTAATTTTTTCTTGTAAAATTTGAATATTGGTAGTCAAATTAAAATTAGCCTTCTCCAAAACATTTTGAAAGCAGTACATTTATTCTCCTCATTTCAGTCTGACAATTTTGAAAAAGAGGCTCTGTTCAGGGAAATACTAATTGTCTCAGCAGAATTGCTACACTAGGTTCCTGGCTTAAAATTTATTTTATTTTCTTATTTTCTTTTTAAATTTCTTTTCAGTTATTACGGAAACGGTTACCACCAGATTGACGTCTCTCCCTCCAAGTAAGTAATTGTGGTAAAGTGTTTTCCTTGGCTATGCCTACATCCTTGCACCTTATTTTTGGAATCGGAAAAAAACTATCCAGCTGGCTTATGGGTTGTTTTTACCCCTTATATGCTTGTATGTAGCAATAGCAATTGCACTTAGACTTATATACCACTTCACAGTGCTTTACAGCCCTCTCTAAGCGTTTTACAGTGTCAGCATATTGCCCCCAACGATCTGGGTCCTTATTTTACCGACCTTGGACAGATGGAGGGCTGAGTCAACTTTGAGCCTGGTGAGATTCGAACCACCAAATTACAGGCAGCTGGCAGTCAGCAGAAGTAGCCTGCAGTACTGCATTCTAACCACTATGCCACCATGGCTCATGTATGTATGTGCATGTATGTATGTGCATGTATGTATGTATCAGGGGTGGGTTCTAGCCAGCTTTACTGTTGGTTCACTCATGCATGCATTGGATGCGTGCTGCACATGCCCAGTTCTATTAAAATTGTTCTGTGCATGCAATAACTAAAGTGCCATTTAAAGATAACAATGTTTCAATCCATTGTTTATGTTGCCACAAAACTCTATCATCCTATTCTACTTCATAAGGTTGTTGAGATAAAAGTTGAAAGCCTTAAGTTTATTTTTAGAGAAAAATAGGGATAAAAGAATATATTATTTTAAATTGTTCTGGTTATCAGTACAGATTATTAGATAAACTAGTTCAACAGATATATAGATAAATAACCCATATTTGAAAAAAAAATCTATAAATGATACCAACCATAGTGCAGGAATAGCATTAGTAGTGCAGGAATAGCATCAGTAGTAGTTTTTGTGTGAAAACACTGCAAAATTGTAGAATTAATGCTCCAAGACTTATTCAAGATAGAACATTGCCAAACATTGTTTGGTTAAATATTTTGCTCTTGCCATTTTTAATTTATTCCATTTTGAACTACTGATAATGATCAAATATTGAGAGACTAAAGTATTACAACTTTTGCAAAATTGTAAAATTGTACATGGGTTTGGTGCATCTGTTTCAACCTTTTGCCTTTTCTGACTCACAAACTGTTGTGTTTTCTCTGACAGAAGGAGCTGGTAGTAGTGGACATAAATCAACAGCTTATAGTGGAGGAAGCAGCATGGAAAGGAGGACATATGGCCATGGCAGCAGTTATACCGCAGCCAGTAAGTGGTTTTCAATCTAAGAGCAAATAAGAGTTTGAAAGTGAAAGTCATACATGGGAATGGAAAGGCCAAAGAATGGATGGGTTGGCAGAGATGCTGACTGCTGGAAAATGTCAAAAGTGGGGAAGATGAGACATTCTTTTGATTCTTTACTAAAGAGTGATTATCATAAAAATATAAAGATACCACTTATAGATATTGGGTGACATTTCTTAATTGGGATGATGAGGTTTATTTTCACAGGAAATGCTACCATTCATTAGTAGGAGCCCAACCTACAGTGAGGCAACTATGCCAAATGTTCATTGAAATAATCAATTTTAACCTCCTGGATCTGCAGCAAAGTGGAGGGCTGCCTGTGCTTTTAGAGGGAGAACATCCATGGGCTAGTGGCTATGACAGAGAAGGTCTGCTGCCCATTTCACCCACATATAATCTCCTATGCAATCAGGCAACTTTGAACAGGCCCTCTCTGTTACTAGACTGAATAAGCAGAATTAGTTCTGACAAGGCATTACCTGATGAATTTAGGGCTTTAAAAGTAATGACACTGGACTAAGGAATCTACTGGCAACTAATGCAATGTATTTCATTCATTCTATCCTGGCAGGTTTACCGCTGTATTTTAGATGTAGATGTAGATGTAGATAAATTTATTTATAGGCCGCCCTTTTCCCTGAGGGGACTCAGGGCGGCTTACAACGTATAGGGAAGGGAGTACACACAATGACATATAAAAACAGTACGTAATTAAAAATAGAAGCAACATTCATTCATCATTCGGGAGGGGACGGATTATAATCTTTAACCCCAGGCCTGACGGGATAGCCAGATCTTGAGGGCTGTGCGGAAGGTCTGGAGGGTGGTGAGGGTACGAATCTCCACGGGGAGATCGTTCCAAAGGGTCGGAGCTACTACTGAAAAGGCTCTCCTCCGCGTAGTTGCCAGTCGACACTGACTGGCGGATGGAACTCGGAGGAGGCCTAATCTGTGTGATCTAATAGGTCGCAAGGAGGTAATTGGCACCAGCTGCAGTTTCCTATTATTTACCCACTGTTCTTATTTTGATAGATCTAAGTTAATCTTTGGTATGGAGATCTGACAAAAATCTAAAGATATTTAAGGATTTTGATAAGCCACATATTAAATAAATTATTCCAAGTATGCCTTGACCGGTTATTCATTAAATCTGCATAGTTAGCCAATAAATATCAAAGTGTCGGTTTTGAAGCTGTTAGAAATTGGAAACAAAATTGAAGTTTTCACCAGTAAGAAACCACAATAATTATATAAACATTGGGAAGCTGGAATGATTAAAACACATTCATGGATTATTTTCCAATTCTGTTTTATGCTTCCCTTGTTTTTAAAAAATAGCATTTTAAAGCTTAGAATGTGAGAAAAATCTAACAAAATTATTGAGCTAAAATGCTTCTGAAACCCCTTAATAATTTTAGATCAGTTTTTCTTAAACTTTCTGCTTTCAGAATGCCTTTGCACTTACTGTATAAAAATTATGGAGGACTTCAAAGGAGTTTTTATTTGTTTAGGCCATATTTCTCAATATTTGCCATATTATAAATTAAAGTTGGCACATTCATAAAACATTTATTTATTTATTGGGTAAAAATTAAACCCATTAAATGCTAACATAAATAAAATACAGTAGTTTTCACACAAACATATATTTTTAACAAATAAATAATGATAAGAGTGACATTGTTTTAAATTTTTGCAAATATTTTTGGTATGTGTGGCAAATCATTTTGATTTTACAAACCCTTAATAGGATCTTGGGGACACCTCAGGGCCTTGGATCTCACTTTAGGAAACATATTTTAGAACGCATAAAGACTTCTGATAGCATTTAAAAGTATAAAGTTATAGAATGTTCCCAGGCTGGGGGTAATACATTTGTGTGGTCGTATTGTATTTTGTGTTTCATTGATATGTTTGTTTTTAGCCATGACTACTGTGTTTGTTTCATGTGTTTTTTAACTGTTATTTGATTTTGATAAAATTAATAAATTTAAAAAATGGAATAAGGTAAACTGGTAATCAGAGTGACCTTAGGAAAAACTGATATTAGGACATTGTCCAAAATGAGCAGATGCTAGTCAAACCTTTTGAGGAATATGTTAAAAGTCTTATTCAACAGCAGTATATACCCGAGATGGGCATCACATACTGTAACAACCAGTCCGCCCAACATCAGAAATGTGAGCGCGCATGCTGTCCGCACATGTGTGCAACATCAAAAGACACGACAACTTGCTCACATGCTCTGTCCGGGCATGTGTGTGGCATGAAAAAACACAGCAATTCGCTTGCACGCGCCGTCCACACATGCATGCTGCATTTAAAAAATGCAGCGATATAGGATGGGATTTCACGTGGTTGGTTGGGTGGGATGTCCACCCGCAGAGCGCAATTACCGATTCTCCTGAACCGGTCTGAACCAGCAGCAGCACACCACTGGTATATACTATATATCGGGGCTGTCAAACTCACGACTTGTGGGGAAGATGTGTCATGCTAACCACGCCCATGCCCAGTTTAGCGAAGGAGAAAAAAGTTGTGATACATGACAAGATGCTGCCATGATGACACGAGTTTGACACCCCGGCTATATATCATACTAAAAGTATGTGTGTTAATATATATTATCTGCCATATAAATGTTATACATATTTCTATATAGATAGCATATAATAGCCAGTATCTATTACTTCAAATATAAATCCCAATGAAGCATAAATCTTTATTACACTTTACAACAGACAGCTCAGATGTAAATTGATTTTTCCCGGAAGGAATTAGCTGGGATTAAAGGGGGTTTAAGAAAAATTCACATTTTTATTTGTCAAAAATTATTATGTTGTTATAAAATTATAACAATTGTAAATGTTGTTAAATATGTTTATCAATGCATTTTTCTGTATATTTTGTTTGCTACATTTCACTCAGAAGTGAGCCAACAGTTAGTGTCTACTGAACACCTTTTAAGTCATTTGTGTTTCACAGGCTCTCCAGAGGTATTCTGATTATAGGGTGATCTTTCTAGAATTAGAGAGATCAAATTCATGTAATTGTGGCTATCTAGATAAGACAAACAAGTGGGAAGTTAAATGATGAAAAGACATCATTTCCCACATAATTCAGTCCACCAAATGTGAATCTGAGGAGGTTTTGTTTCATCTCTAGGTGGGAATGCTAGAATGAATACCTCCTCTTCCTCCTACAAGCAAGCCACCTCTCCTTCTTCCACTCTTACCAAATCACCTGGCTCCACTTTTGAACGAAAAACCTATGCTACCCACCATCCAGCATATGAAGGTATCATAAAAAGAAGCAGGGTTAAATGATTTTAAAGAGTTTCAAAGAAACCAGGGTTAGGACAATTTTAACTGATAATCCCAACTTTTCTTAGGAACCAGATACCGTATGGCTTGCTCTTTTCGGTAAATTTTGGATTGATCTGTTGTTCAGTACAACAGTTCCATTCATGATCTTTGCAGGCATTTTCATTATGATTCAGATTTCTAGCATAATATTCCAGTGATGATATTAATTTATCTCTTTTCATTGAACACACACTTCTGTTGCAGGCTAATTAATAAATTTTCTGCATGTGTTCTTCAGGAATAGTTTAGTTTTCAAAGTATGCTTTATTACATATTGTAATATGATGGAAATTCAGTATGTGGAGTAAACTACATAATACTGTTTTCAAATTTCTTTTAATTTAAACTTTTCTTTTTCAGGAAGCTCCAGTGCAAATTCCTCGCCAGAGTTTCCACGCAAAGATTTCGGTACATTTTCCATTTTTGAGAATTACCTTAGTATCAGTATAGATACTGAAATGAATTAAGAAAGTGGTGCAGATTTTCCTAACATTCTTCTTTTCTGTTCTAATGATAGAACTGTATTCCCTTTGCCTCAATTGCTCAATAAATGCTATTGAGCTATACTTCTAAATTCCACTGGGGGCAGCAAATGAATGAATATGTACACCTTTTTGTTCTGACCCCCCTTTCGCTTGTTCATAGACGACAGTCAGACAGACTTAAAAGGAAATAACTTTATCAGTCCTGGCTCATGCTGGCTGCGAGCCCAAAATAAACATAAATAATGTCTCTGGCAAAAAGGTTACTCAGCAGAATGCAAAAGCAAAGAGCTATTACAGCAACACCAGGTTTACCGAAAGAAAGCAAATCACTTCTCCAAGTGTCTTTTTGAATCAGGGTTACAGAAAGCAAATCACTTATCCAAGTGCCTCTCACAAACAAACTACGACCGATGAACGACGAACCACAAATGAACGAGTGAACGTTGACTTCTGCTCCCAGGGTGTGGCACCATCAGTCCTTTTATCTCCAGAAGACGACACTAACGAGCCCCAGCTGCATTGTTATTCCTGCATCCCGACTCAACTCACAGCAAATTTCTGCTGAGTCCCAACACTATCCCCCACCGCAGGGCCTCTTCCCTGGGTTCCGATGGTCTGGATGCGGTCGGAATGAAGTGTCCACACTCA